TACGTCCCCGCCGAGGGCCTTCGTGGTGGTGCCCCTTCGCGGCCCTGACCGTGCGGTGCCGTCACGTCCTCGGCGACGATTGTTTGTGGCCCGATCAGCCGCATTCGCATCAGCTACTTCTATATGTAGTCAGTCATGTTCTCGGTCTCTAGAGTTTCCTCGACGCATCCGATGCTGGGTCCCCCGGGAACGCGAATTGGGTTCTGCACGCACGCAGGGCTGACAGAGAGCGGGCCTTCTTCGGCATCACTTTGGAGACATCGTTTACTTGAGTGCCGTATTGGTTTTTTGAATGTCCGCACGTTGCGGATGCGCTGTGAATTGTCGCCTGACGGTATCGAGGAAGGCGGCGTGCTCAAATTAGAACTCTTGAAGACACGGATGCAGCAACATCGGCTATATGCTCTTTGTCTGTCGGAGGTCAGGTTGGACATGAAGGGCAGCCACAGGTACGAGGACGGTTTCACACTTATCGCTCAATCTTCCGGGCCGCAGGGCGGGGTCGCCATTCTGCTGTCGCCGGAGGCGTCGTCCGCCTGGGCGGCGGCCGGCTCGCAGTCTCATGGGCATGCCAGTGATCCTATCATGCAGTGCTCGTTGCAGCTGGGTGGAAAGGAGGGCCGCTTCTCCATCTTCTCGGTGTACGGACCCACCTGCAAGGCCACCGACGAGGAGCTTGACGTGTTCTGGGAGGCACTGCGGGCTGAGACCGCCAAGGCGCGTGGCATCTATTTCGTCTTCGGTGACTTCAACAGCCTCGTCGGGAACGCAGCGGGACCAGATGATGTCCTCGGCCTTCACGGTTTGGGCCGGCGCAATGCCAACGGCGAGCGCATGCTGAATTTCTGTCGGGCCCGAGGCCTTCGGATCATGAATACCTTTTTTAGCCATTCACGGTCGCGCAAGGCATCTTGGTATCATCTTCGATATCGCACAGCAGGCCTGATCGATTTTGCATTGGCTCGGACGTGTGACGCCGACATTTTTACCAACGTGCGCACGTACCCGGGTGTAGGGGTTGAGTCAGACCATGTGCTTGGAGTGGCCACGTTGCGCCAGAAGCCGCGGCGGCACTTGACCCATTCTGGGGCTGCTCCTGTGCCCGAGGCGCCACGGCCTCTGCCTGTTCTGGAGGTGCGCAAGCTTGCGACAAGTGCCGGCGACGCTTTCCGAGCCGCGGCCGTGTCGGCACTTCAGTGCGCAGACCTCCAGCCCGGGCAGCTGGCCGCCACTCTGCGGCAAGTGGGGGTGGACGCTCTCGGGGAGCAGCCGAAGCGCCAGGTGCCTGACTGGCGGGTCGTGAACCGAGAGGCTTTGAAGGCGCTGGCCAAGGCGAGGCAGGAGGCTCACGCCCGCATGCGGTCCAGCGGCGACCCGAGGCACGCTCTAGCCTTCAAGCGCCTCTGCCGTGGCAACAGGGCCACCGTGCGGAGGATGGTGAACGACTGGTGGGCTTCTATGGCGCAAGATGTGTCAGACGCAGCTGATCGCCATGACTTCGCTGTCGTTTTCGCTGGCGTTCGCGACATGTCCAGGCAGCAGACATGGCGTCGCATTTCGAGCAGGTGCTGAACATACAGAGGCCCCTTTGCAGCGAGGCTGTGGAAGCCGGTCTCGCGCTGTTGCAGCCTTTGGACCAAGGCCGGGTTGTCTGCCAGTGCTCGCCGTGACATGGCGACGGAGATCTGTTACGGTGCGTGGCATCGAGCTGACCGTCCTCGTAACCACCGCCTGGAGATCTACACCAGCGAGCGCATGTCGACTACCACTCATCGAGGACTTGCTGACGAAGCCGCTGAACACCGTGCCCGTCGTCGCTGGATCGAACACGAGCGTGCCACCAACCCGAACTTCCCGCAGGATGACGGCGACACCGCGTCTACAACTACGACCACCACCACGCTTCCCACCCACTCCACCAGCGACATCATGATGGACTCCGATACCTCCGACCGTGACGGACTTCTTGGCCGCGCTGCTCTCCCTGCTAGCGTTGAACACGCTTGGCGCGATCGACGGTCCCACCTGGCGAACTCCACGGCATCGCTCTTCTGGCCCGCGGTCAAGACATTGTCAGGCGCTTGGACGACCTCGCATCGCATGCACGTCAACCCTCACAAGAAGACCTGTTTGTTCGGCTGCGACAAGGACTTGCAGGCCAAGAACACGGACGACATCAGCCACCACATCTCGTGCCCACGGATTTGGGCGCTCTTGGCGCAACCACGTGGACGACTTGCTGGCGATGCCCTCACGCGCCTGGGCCTCCACCAGAACGACATCATCGACGACCGCCCGAACACACACCATAACGCGCATGGCCGTTGCCTACCGCAGCTGCAACATCATGCGGGTGCGCTCCGAGAACGGCATGCCCGCCGACTACAACGACTACATCTACCACAAGGAGGTTGTTGCCGCCGCTCGCCGCGCCTTGAGGCCCCCCCGATGCCTCGTGGGCGGCGCGGGGCCGCAGCGCCGCTGATCGACAGACGAGCGCTCTCCCTAGCGTGTCGTTTGCTCCTCCTCCTCCTCCTCCTCCTCCGCCCCGTCCTCCTCCTCCTCCTCCTCCTCCTCCTCCTCCTCCTCTGCCTCGTCCTCCTGGACGTCCTCCTCCTCCTCCTCCTCCTCCTCCCCCCCATGTTCCTGCTCCACCTCCTCCTCCTCCTCCTCCTCCTCCTCCTCCTCCTCCCCCTCCTCCTCCTCCTCCCCCTCATCCGCCCGGCCCAACCGCTCGTCAGGGTTCGCCCGCCCGACCCGACCCGCTCGTTAGAGTTACACATTTGTTTTTTTGTTCGAACAGCGTCGTATGTTAGGGCCCGTCCGACCCGATTCGCCCGTTAGAGTTACGCGTTTTTTTACATGCGTCATACGTTAATGTCCCGACCGACCGACCCGACTCGCCCGACCCGACCCGCCCACGAGTTACCCGAGGTCGCTTTTTGTTGCATGCGTCATATGTTGATGTCCCGCCCGCCCGCCCCGTTCCGCCCGTGAGGGTCGCTCGCCCGACTCGATTCGCCCGTTACGGTTACGGTTGCGTGTTGTTTTTTTCGGACGTGCGTCATATTTTAATGTCCCGCCCGCCCGACCCCACTCGCCCGTTAAGGTTCGCCCGCCCGATCCGATCCGCCCGTTAAGGTCACGCGTGCGTGTTACTTCGAGCACGCGTCATACTTTAATGTCCAGCCCGCCCGACCCGCCCGCCCGTTAGAGTCCGCATCCGACCCGACCCGCCATTTAGGATCACACGTGCGTGTTGTTCGAGCATGCATCATGTTTTAATGCCCCGCCCGCTCGACCCGACCCGCCCGTTAGGGTACGCTCGCCCGACCCGACCTGCCCGTTAGGGCTACGCATGTTTTTTTTGTTGCGCGTCATACTTTAATGTCCCGCCCGCCCGACCCGACCCTCCCGTTAGGGTTCGTTCGCCCGAACCGATTCGCCCGGTAGCGTCACGCGTGCGTGTTAATTCGAGCGCGCGTCATATTTTAATAATCGGCCCGCCCGACCCGACCCGCCCGTCAGGGTCCGCTCGCCCGACCCGACCAGCCCGTCAGGGTTACGCTTGCGTGTTTTGTTGAACATGCAGTGTGTCATAATTTGAATTTCCGCCCGCCCGACCCGTTCCGCCCGTTAGAATCCGCCCGCCCGAACCGATTCGCCCGTTGGGGTTACGCGTGCGTGTTAATTCGAGCACGCGTCATATTCTCATGTCCCGACCGCCCGACCCGCTCGCCCGTTAAGGTCCGCATCCGATCCGACTCGCCCGTCACGGTTACGCGCGCGTGTTTTTTTTGAACATTCGTCATACTTTATATAATGTCCCGCCCGCCCGACCCGACCCGCCTGTTAGTCTCCGCCCGCCCGATCCGATCCGCCCGTTAGGGTTCAGCGTGCGAATTCCTTCGAGCAAGCGTCATATTGTAATGTCCCGCCTGCTCGGCCCGCTCGCCCGTTAGAGTCGCATCCGATCCGATCCGCCCGTCAGGGTTACGCGTGCGTGTTTTCTTTAGCATGCGTCATACTTTAAATGTCCCGCCCGCCCGACCGGACCCGCCCGTTAGGCTCCGCCTGATCCGATCCGCCCGTTAGGGTTCCGCGTGCGTGTTATTTCGAGCACGCGACATTATTTAATATCCCGCCCGCCCAACCCGCCCGCCCGTGGGTTCCTGCGGATTGAGATTTTCTGTTTGAGTTCTCTATTTTCAACCTTGCTAAGCATCGGGGGAGCGCCCGCACTGCCAGACGTCTTGAGCGGTGAGCGCCACGGGTGTGAGGACGTCTCTAGCGGCGGCGCCCGAGTTGTGAGGATGTCTCGGGCGCCGACACTCGAGCGGGTGTTTCGAGCGGCGGCGCACGAGCTGCAAGCATGTTTCAAGCGGCAAGCGCTCTCGAGCTATTCGACCTATTCGGGCTTTTCGCGCTTCTCGGGCTTTTCTGGTGACCTGGGCGCCCATTCGGGCTGTTTGGGCTACTCGGGCTACTTTGGCCAGAGCTGCGAGGATGTTTCGAGCGGCGGCGCTCGAGTTGCGAGGATGTTTCGAGCGGTGGGCTTTTCGGGTTTTCGGGTCAACCCAGCACTTTTTCTGGCTCTTCGGGCTTTTCGGGTCAACCCAGTTACAGACACCCCTCGCCAACGCAGTGCATGGACGAAACAGCGAACAAGGGCGGTCGGAATCTGGACGAAGTCAGGCCGAAGTCACGGCTAGGACAGGGCCGCGGAGGTCCACAGAGGCTCCCATGAAGACTCGCCCAGGTTCTGCTGGCTGCAAGTCCCCTCGCCCGACTTTCGCTCGCGCGCGCAGGCCGCGCAGAGCGCACCCGCTGTCCACGGGCCAGACATGCGCAGGCCTCTCCTGAGGCAGCGCAGGCTCAGACCTCTGGTTTTTTTCGTGGTTTCCACTGCGTGCCGCCCGCGGCCCCCACGTGCACGCACATTGAACCCGCGTTGGTCTCGAAAGCAGGCGGTTGCCCCAGTTGCCCCAGCATCCCGAGAGGCCCTGGCGGCCCGACTCCCGCCGCACAAGTGGCGCCCGCCGAGCCGCCCGCGGACACCCCCGCCGCCGCGCCCGAGCCAGTCGCCGCCGCGGCGGCGCCCCGCGCGGCGCCGGGCCGCCGCGAGGCGCGGGGCCGCCGCGAGCGTCCAACGCGGCCGCGCCCGGCCCGCCGTCGCGGGGGGCGCCGCCGCCGCCGCGGCGAGGGCGGCGGCGGCCACGGCGGCGGCCATGAGGGCCACGGCGGCGGCGGCAGCGTGAGCGGCGGCGGCGGCAGAGCAGGAGCGAGCAGGAGCAGGAGGAGGAGGAGGGTCTTTTTTCTGAGCGCAGTGTGATTCTGTGCACGCTTCGTGCGGTGGCATCCCGCCTTCCGATTCTGATCCTGACCGGCGGTGCTGCCAAAAAGCCGCTCCCGCCCTGCGAGTGTCACGTGCTACACTGCCGGGAGCGCCCGATTGAGGGAGTCGAGCGCCCCGTGGCCTTGTCATGCGGGCGAGAGTCCCGTTCTGTAAAGGGGTGACTCTCCATCCCCGCAGAGGAGGAGAAGGAGGAGGAGGAGGAGGAGGAAATGTCCAGGTGCAGAACCACAGTGATAGTCGCAGTTTAGACTTTAGACCAGGGAGTGTCATCTGTCCACGCAAAGGCTGCGCAGACGTCGAACGGGCGTCCAGGTCTTCAGCGCGTAGTACGTACGCGTATCGATCGCCATTCTGGAGTGGGCCTATACAAGGAGGTGGGAAACCGATTTGCGAGTATAACATTTAGCTCTGCTGCTCGCGGATATGTGAGCGTCTCACAGACAGATTTGCTATGCCCGCGAAACCGTTAGTCATCAACGCTTTGGTACCATATCAAAAAAATCCTCTGCGACCCTGATTTCGTATCTGGCTCATGGCGCGGTCTCGTTGCGTCAGTATCACGACGACGGACCGCCAACCAGATAAGGCTGTGAGACCTCGTGCTGGGCCTGTCGCGCAGGGCGCAGATGCTATTTGCACAGACTTGATCTCGGGATGCCGGTTCGTCGGCCTGTGGCTACATCGGAGAAATCCAGATCTCATGGCGCCAGCATCGCAGAGCGGATTTCGTTGGGACACGATAGGATGGGCCCGGAGTGTCCTGGAGAATTTCGTTCCGGATTTCGAGGTGAATTTCGCGCGGAATTTCTTGGGCCAGGAATGAAGACCCCAAAAAATCCACGCGAAATTCACTTCGTTTTTCGCTCGCCGCTTCGGGGAAAAATCCACACCGGAAACCACGCAAAAATCCGTTGCAGCACGTCTGCAAGGCCGGTGCAAAGACAGAACGGTGTACAGCAAAATGCCTCCAGGGTTGCCGCGGCTTCTGCGGGTGCCAAGAGTGGATTTGTTGCCAGGCGACCTCCAAGCTGTGTAACCTGCAAGGTTGGTTGGGATACATCTGGCGTGAACAACAACAAAGCCTGCATCACATTCATCCTGAGCATTTTCATGTTTACCCTGATATGTGCATTACTTCTACTTCTGGCATCGCTAGCGCGGTCGCTTCCCTAATTATGCATTCCGACACGAAGTTGTCGGCGCTTTTAATGTGCAGAGTTTCTATTTGGCCTTCCTTTCCAGTGCAGGGAAGACCCTGCATTTCGATATTATTAGCTTTGACGTGGCACTGGCGGGCCCCATTCACCGCCCATATCGCGCTCAAACAGTGATCGCTGTGTAACTGCTTGTTTTGATTTTGGAAGCCGGCTTCTGGTTATTGTTGCCACCGACGTTGCCGAATCAGATGACCAACCCATTGTTCGAAAAGTTCCATTTCACGCAGACAAGTCTCAAGTGCCAACAATGCGTGATCGTCTACGCAGTGGCGTACGCCACGGTTAACGTTGCATGGACCAGGATGTGCGTTGGATTGGGTACGATCGTCTCACGCGTTTGGGTTTTTCTTATTCTGCGTCTGGTTTCTCGTGCACTTGGCGCTTGCCTGCTTGCTTGCTGCCTGACAATAATTTGAATGAGATGGGCACCGGGCGCCAGAAGAGAAACGCCTTGTACTTGATGAATTGTTGGCGCCTGGCGCTCGCGCAACTTTGACGAGTTGCTGGGAATTACGATTGCAAGTGTAGTGTGAAACAAAAATCCAGCATTGCATTGGTGGTACGTGGTTTGCTGTGCGATCGGGACGGATGGAGCCAGTTTGCACCCTCGAGAGCGACGGCTATTCTGCAGCCTTCTCGAGGCGGACATCTCGCAGCTGCTTCCAGTGCCCGAGTTTGAGACGCGGCTCAAGAAGTTGGAGACCCCGCCATTGCCCAGAGAAGGTGGGGATCTAGCCAGCATCATACGATGGTAGACTGGAGAGAGCGGGGTCAGGATGGGCCAGTTTTGAGCCATCTCGGGGCCGCTCTGGGCATCTTGGGGACCGCCCAGGACATTCGGGCTGGCACCTGGGGGCTCCTTGCGGCCTCCCAGTGCCAGAAAAGGAGGTGGGGATCGACTGTAGAAGGTTGCAGAAACCTTGCTTCACCAAACGGTCCACGGGCGTTCTCACACGCCACAGCGTGCTTGTGAGGTGAGGTGAGTTTTGTTGGGTGAGCTCATCCGGACCAAGTTCTCCGACACCCCCTAGGGCATGATGATCGGCGTCAGGGTATTACGCTTGAGGGTGTTCGTGTTTGAGTTTAGGTTCGGAATGTCCAGGCTATGGGTCGGATCGTAATTCAGGATGCTGTGTATAGGATTATGGTTCTAGTCCTCGAGTTGTAGGCTGCAGAGCGCTGAATTTAGGCTTAGGTTCTAGGGCGGTTGCATTGAACTTGCACTGGTAGGGCTTAGTGTGTGTTGACGGTCAGGTTGCTTGGGAAAGGATCAAGGCCGATCGGTTCTGATGGTTGGCTCGGTATTCCGGGTGTTGACGGAAGGCAAGAGTGTTTGGTTGAGGGTGTTTGGTGATGTGCTCAGAGTTTAAAGCAATGGCAGTGGCGGCAAGAAGCGAGGACGCGGAGAAGGCAGAACAGAAAAGTGCATAGCCGGCCGAGGAAAGAAGATGCAGGAGCACGAGCACGAAGAGCGGGAGCGAGCACCGTCGTCGCGTAAGTGTGCCATTGTTCTCCCAGCAGCCATCCCCTGGGATCCGGCGTTTCCAAAAGAATCCAACATCGCGAAAGCTCACGACTGGAGCCCTAGACCCCATCTTGGTGCGTCATTTGCAGCCACGCGCAGAGGGGGGTGGGGGGAGGGGGGAGGGCTTCTTAGAAGCACCCCTGCTTCTTAAAAGGCGCGGGCCTTATCTATAGATGTAAGGCCGGCGCCTTCTAAGAAGCAGCCTCCTTCTAAGAAGCCCTCCCCCTCCGTCCACCCCCTTGTGCGCGCCGCCAACATTTGTTCCGAGCCGAACCGATCTGTCAGGGTCCCGGGGCCCGAAGCCAGGCGAAGACGCTGTGGAAGAATTGCAACGCCCAGATCTGAGGGTCTGCTCTGTGTGACGCGTGCCGCGAGCGGGGGACGATCAGCCAGCCTTACGTCGGGCGTGTCCCTGTGCAGGGGGAATATCCAAAGATAGTCAAAAGATAGTCTGGGGACGATGTTCGACTATTTTTGACCATGTTTTTGAGTATTCTTTCTGTTTTTTTCAAGCTTCGTCCACATCCCCCTGCAGGAGGACAGGCCCGACTTAAGAAGCCAGCCCTCCCCTGCTCGCTGGCTCTGCTCGTCTCTCCTTCCCCCCCCCCCCCTTTTTCGCTCCCCGCAGAGCGGCGCCCCTCTACCGTCCCCCCCCCCGCATGCGCGCACTCCTGCGCCTGGGAGCGCGCGCGGGGGGGGGGGGAGGGGGAGAAGGTGGGCGGAAGGAGGAAGAGGACGAGGACGAGGACGGGGAGGACGGGGACCAAAAGGAGGGGGAGGAGCACGGCGACGAGGAGGGCCTCGACAAGGACCAGGAAGGGGAGGAGGACCAGATTAGACCCAGGATACATCGACTACGCACACGTTCTCTTTGCAGAAAGCGCCCTCTTGAAAGGCGAGCGCCCCAGGGGCGTGTCATTCAGGCGAGAGCCCCGTTTCGAAAAGGATCCACCCTCCATCCGTGCCATTGTTGCGCAGTTCGAGCCGTCTGAACATGTGGGCGGGAACTTCTTCTTGGAAAATGAGCGCCCCAGGGGCTTGCCATTAGGGCGAGAGCCCCGTTTCGAAAAGGATCCACCTTCCATCCGTGCACTGGTTTGGTTGCACATCGTGAGACTTCTGAACATACACGCCTGTTTTTTTGGATCCCCAGATCCGAATCTCCTCTATGCGCCTTCGTGCTTCAAGGATCGGGTTGCGTTTCCGCTTCCCTCCTCTTCAGGGGCCGGGCGGAAGAGCAATCTACTCCCAGCGCTTTAGTACCTCATGTTTATACCTACTTCTTCTGACCGACGGGCACGGGCAGAACTTCTGCTGATCAGCGTGTCGCGCAGTCGGTCGTGGCCTTCCACGCGTCGGCGCGGCACGCTGAGCCAAGAGTCAGGTCGTTGGCATGAGAGCGACCACGAGGGGGCGTGCAAACATGTGGACGAGGGACGGTTGAAGACATAATTCTTGGGAGTAGCAGCGCCTTCTTCTGTGCTCGCATTGCAAGACAGCGCTCTGCGCGCTATGACAGTACAACGCCTTGCGCTAAACGTTGCATGTGCCCGCATGCATTACAAGCAACAGGCAGCTGAAGAAGGGATGCGGCATGGGCAACAGACACCGCCATGCGCGATTCGCTGCGCGGCGCTCGCACACGCAAACGACAATGGTGACTGTTTCGCAGATCGCAGCCCCCAATGGACGGCGAGGTCTCATGGTGGTCCCTGTGGGACACCCCCCTGCTGGACCTCCCAGGAGCCCACGGAAGTGGCGGCAGCTTCGCAGAAGATCGCAGCCCCCCAGGGACGGCGTGGTCTCACGGGTGTGGTCCCCGTGGACACCCCTCCGCTGGACCTCCCAGGAGGCCACGGAAGTGGCGACAGCTTCGCAGATCGCAGCCCCCCAGGGACGGCGAGGTCTCATGGCGGTCCCCGTGGGGCACCCCTCCGCTGGACCTCCCAGGAGCCAACGGGAGTGGCGACAGCTTCCGGGTCAAAGCCCCTCCAGGGACGGCGAGGTCTCATGGTGGTCCCCGTGGGATCCCCCCCCCGTTGGATTTTGTGGGAGCCCACGAAGGTGGCGACATTTTCGCAGATCGCAGCCCCCCAGGGACGGCGAGGTCTCATGGCGGTCCCCGTGGGACACCCCTCCGCTGGACCTCCCAGGAGCCAACGGAAGTGGCGACAGCTTCCAGATCGAAGCCCTCCCAGGGACGGCGATGTTTCATGGTGGTCCCCGTGGGATACCCCTCCGTTGGATTTTTTGGGAGCCCACGAAGGTGACGACATTTTCGCAGATCGCAGCCCCCCAGGGACGGCGAGGTCTCATGGCGGTCGCCGTGGGACACCCCTCCGCTGGACCTCCCAGGAGCCCACGGAAGTGAGACTGCAGTCCCCCAGGGACGGCGAGGTTTCATGGTGGTTCCCGTGGGATACCCTTCTGTTGGATTTTTTAGGAGCCCACGGAAGTGGCGACAGCTTCGCAGATCGCAGCCCCCCAGGGACGGCGAGGTCTCATGGTGGTGCGCTTGGGACACCCCTCCGCTGGACCTCCCAGGAGCCTGCGGAAGTGGCGACAGCTTCGCAGATCGCAGCCCCCCAGGGACGGCGAGGTCTCATGGTGGTCCACGTTGGACACCCCTCCACTGGACCTCCCAGGAGCCCACACAAGTGGCGACAGCTTCGCAGATCGCAGCCCCCAAGGACGGCGAGGTCTCATGGTAGTCCACATGGGGCACCCCTCCGCTGGACCTCCCAGGAGCCCACAAAAGGTCTCATAGTGGTCTCCGTGGGACACCCTTCCGCTGGACTCTGAGAAGCCTATGAAAGTGGCGATAGTTTCGCAGGTCGCAGCCCCCCAGGGACGGCGTGGTCTCATGGTGGTCCCCGTGGGACACGCCTCCGCTGGACTTTTTAGGAGCCCACGAATGTGGCGACAGAATCGCAGATCGCAGCCCCCCAGGGACGGCGAGGTCACGAGGCAGGGAGCAGGAGGAAGAACACGAGGAGGAGGAGAAAGGAGGGACGAAGGAGGAGGGGGGAGGAGTGAGTGATGGAGACAACGGAGCTCCATTCAAAACGAGAACCCAAGCAAACGAGGGTTGGGGAAACAAAAAACGCATTCCGTCCGTGTCGGTGTTGGTAACACTTTAAAACATGCGTGCGGTTGCAAAGCGAGAACCACATTGTGAACACGGCCCGCCCTCCATGCATGTGTTTCTGGAAGATTGTACGAAGAACGTCCGCCGTCACGCGAGAGCCACATATTGTCAAGTGCGCGCCCCTTGATGGAAACACGTAACTCGAACAATCACGGCGCATTTCGATTCATGTATACAGTGGTAAGACAAGAAACACATGTTTACAATTGCCCGCCCTCCATTGATGTAGTTGGCGGAAATGTTTACGAATGTTGTGCGAGGCGCCATGGCAAGTGCAATTTGTTGCAAGCGGTATGCCCTCTGTCCTTGTGGTTGCTGGAAACAGTGAAGACGAACGTAAGCGGCGCAAAAGCGGGGGCTACAAGCAGGTTTACGACCACGCCTGAGGACGAGGTTCGTGCCGACTGCTCCCACCCCGGAGTGGGGGTCGACTGCTATGTTGAGGAGGACGGAGAGGAGGAGGTGGTGCTACGGGCCGTGGCGCCCAGCAGCATGCTCAAGAAAAAGGAGGAGTTGGTGGATCCTGGCCCTGGCACCAGTCCTCTCCTCACTTGCACGGCCTCGCTTCCTTTGCGGTCGTCCGATCTGCATGGCAGCTGAAACGCATCCTAGACATCTCTCGCTCTCTCTCTTCGCTCTTTCTCTCTTTCTAGTATATACATATCTATATATATGCATAAATGACACACAGATCTATACATGTATATATACATATACATATACATATATGGTCAGCCCCCCCCCCCAGCACCCCGTGTGCACCCATCGCTGTGATTTCTTTATGTTTCGCTCTCTTTCCGTTGCTCCTCCTCCTCCTCCTCCTCCTCTTCCTCCTCCTCCTCCTCATCCTACTCCTTTCCTCCTCCAAATATGAAAGCGAAGAGGATGAGGAGGAGGAGGAGGAGGAGGACCAGGAGGTTGAGGATTAGGATGAGGAGGAAACCATGCTATTCACATGTTTTTTGTTTTTTTTGTCAGGGAAGCCACCAAACACTGCTATTCACAGGTTTTTTTGTTTTTTAATG